GTTATGATACCAGCACAAATCCAGGTTGCTGGCACCACCTTGAGAGCCAGTCTGGTTGTTTGCACGACTGAGTGACCTGCTTCTTGACCTCGAGCGATGCTGCTGTGTCAACTGGTTTTTGGTCAAGGAAATAAGGTGCACCATGGAGAGACACATAGCTAACAACTCCGCACCCAAAGACTCCACCGTAGGGGCTTCGACCGCTGCGATCGTTGGTGACACCTGGTACTGGGCGGCAGTGGCAGCTACTGGCGTGAACAGCTGCTGGCTCGCGGCACTCGCAGATGAAGCCTGAAGTTGTGTTCGTGGCAGCTGGTGCTACGCGGTGGCTAAGGCCAGTAGGGTCTAACGTTGAACCGCTGTCAAAGTTGGGTAGTCCTGGATGAGTTCGTCCGCCAGGAAGGCCAGCTCGCCCAAGTGGGGCGGATTTCATCACCTTCAGGTGCCGCGTGACTGCAGCTGGCAACAGGTCGAGCCACCTGACCCTGATGGCTTCGTCACTGATAACTTTTCCTCCGAGTGTCTTCATATAACGGAGTAACTGTGATGGCGGTTTTGTGTCACCTAGTTAGAGCTGCGTGAAGAGAGCTGATGCAGGTTCTGGTCCTCGGTGTCGGTCAAGCGTTTCAGTAATTCGGCCTTGAAGTGGTCGTACTTTTTGTGCTCGGGAGAGCTGAGCAGAACGTCGGAGATTTCGTCGACTGTCGCGTCGTCCAGCGCTGCAACGACAAGCTCTTACATACCTTCGGGTTCCGCTTCCAGAACGGTGCTAAACGCAGGGGTGATCTCTTTCGGGATCGGTGTGTTGTAGCGTCCTCGAAATCTGTGTCGTCATCCGTGAGCACCGGATCATACTCCGGAGGCCTTTCCTTTCGTTTACCATCACCGGACGTCGAAGGCCCGTCTCCAGCTTGTCTGCTTGCACCTGTCATCGTCAGATGTGACGAGTTGAAAATTCACAGGCACTGACAAAAAAAACGCTCGTTTTGTGGTTACCGGGTAGGCGCACGTTAAAAAAGAGACTTGAGAGAGAGATAGAGGGCTGTAGTCTCGAGCCTTGCTCTATTATATGATGCAGAGAAGTCAATTGAATGCAAAGATTGCTGTAAGATTCTAATTAAGCATTTGCTCTGTATGCTGTTGTGGAGCCGGGGCGCACTGAACGAGGCACGCTAGAGAGAGATGGAGAGAAAAGTCGCGCGTGTTGTTGCTTGTTGCGCACTATAAAGATTCTCGAAAAAAAAAATATGGCGGTGTTGAGCCGAGCGAAGAGACAATTTCGCGGGAAAAAACGACCACCACTTGCGATGTAATATTCGGCACCCTTGAGGTTTCAGCGCCCTCGAAGGAGTGTCCAGATTTTTGCACGCGTGAATGAATAAGTGGCGTCGCCCGTGGGGACGACGGAGTATTGCTAATATTCACGTGCTCTTGCGGTGATATTACCGTAGGCTACATTTAAGCCTCACACCACGTGCGCACTAGGTTACACGTTTTTCCTCTACGGCGCCACCATCACAGATCACGTCGAGGTCACCAATTTAGCATATTGCCGGGTAGCTAATCCTGAGCTTGAGGGTAGCCGGAGGTGAGGAGGTCGCAGGAATTGAAAACTCGTGCGAGTACGAAAAAGTTCAACGTTTATTCGATTACCATTTTACATGCAGCTAGTCCTGCTGGTTAGGCGCGCGTCGGCGCGTGTATCTTGCTCGACTGCTGAGCGTAATCTGCCTCAACCCTCAACTGGTTAGAACGCCACTCTTAGGTAGCAGGACGGATCATACATACGTAGATAGTATCCAGCAAACACAAAGAAATCTTTAAGATGTCTACAAGACGTCTTGCTGAAATGAAAGATTTCTTCAAGAATTTCCAAAAGAAAACCTGAAGACATCTTGTAGATTTCTAATGTCCATCTTTAAATCTAGATGTCTTTACGATATCTTTCAGAAAATTCTAAAAGAAGGCTTCCAGATATCTTTCGAGAGGCGTATGCAAATAGTAAATGGAGCAATAAAAGACCAAGGCTGAATTAAAATGAAGCATATTATCTTTTATAACTTTAATACTTTACATTTCACAAACTGTACTTGAAATACTGACAACATAATAAAGTTATAAGATTTAATAAGCTTGAATTTAATTAGATCTCCGTCTTTTCCACTTGTTCAATTGATTGATTTACGAATTCAACACTAAATTTTATTTTTCAAAAAATATTATACTTTATGTTACACAAACTGTACTTGAAATACTGACAACAAGTATACATTTGAATTTCCAATTTCCAAATTACAAAAAAAAATCTACGGTATAATAATTCAATACTTAGCTATAAAAAATACTATCGTTACTCTTTAAGGACAAAATTATTTACGAGATCAAATTTTTCTGTCACTACATGTGTATCCAAATTTCAATTCGCTCCAAAACTTTCTTCTCCATGATATTGTTTGTTATTTCTGATCATTTCTAAAAAATATATATATTAACAATTTATTAAAGGAACTAGTAATTTTATTAGAATGTCTGAAATTTAAATTGCTTACCGTTAATTATTTTTGGGAAGTTAAAAAAGTCGATGAACAATTTGTTTTGTTTATGTATTTTCCAAGTCTATTGGCTTACTATAGTGGATCAGTAATCGTTTTTTTCATTATATTTGTCACTTCTTCTGGCATGTCATGACCTAAACATACATTGATGTTAATTATAACAGATATTAAAATAAAATTGAAAAAACAAAATTTCATAGCTTTTTCACTTACAAAACAGACTCACCAAAAAAATCCGTTCATAGATAATCATGCTGAACATAACCTATCGAACTTAGATTAATGTACTTTGGACACATGGTAGCTTAATAAAAACAAAAAGTGTTACAAATTGATATATAGATTAATACTCTTACGTTGGTTGATGTTAGAAGATATTTCTCCACTGGGTACAGATACGGATTGATGTTAAAATGGATTGACAACAAATATACTGCAGATACTATTTTATGACATCTCTTTTGTATGCATACATGTATTACGTTATATATATATATATGTGGATTCAAATTTCTTGTTCAAGAAATTTGCAAGATTTCTTTATAAACGATGATTTTAGTGGGTTGCCATCAGAAATCTTTTAGATGACATTACGAAATTTCTTATAGAATTCTTGTATAAGACATTTAAAAAAATGTCTTGCTAAACGATGACGTTAAGAAGTTTCCATAAGCAATCTTTCAGATGACTTTACGAAATTTCTTAAAGAAATCTTGTAAAAGACATCTTTAAAAAAGTATTTTTAAACGATGACTTAAGGAAATTACTATAAGAAATCTTTTAGATGACTTTACAGAGTTTCTTAAAGAAATCTTATTAAAGACATCTTAGAAGATGTCTTTTTAAAAGATGACTGAAGAAAGTGGCTATAAGAAATCTTTCAAATGACTTTACGAAGTTTCTGAAAGAAATCTTGTAAAAGACATCGTAAAAGATGTCTTTAAGAACTTTGTGTTTGCTCTGATAGTCTGAACACCAGGAGATGGCAGCACTGCATGGTGCTGCTCAGCGCCGAGCGCGTGCTTTGAAAGTTAATTATCATAGTTACAGTTGAGCGCGATTCCGAAATCGCGCCCCCACTGGAGACTTTCAGAACGATGGGTCGTGATAAGTGTGATAAGTTATCACTAATAACTGATAAGAAAAGGTAATTATTATGAAATCCATCTTCCGGCTCCATTCACCAGGTGGCCAACCCTTAAATGTCGCTTCTCTACAAGCATATAGAAATCAATTCATAGCACTGTCCTTTTCTAATGACGACTAATCGTGTAATCGTTCTCAAAGACCTCAAAGTGCCCAGTGAGTGGGGGCGTGATTTTGGAATTGCGCTCAAAGCGGCTCAAAGCTCAAATCGAATAATTAATTATATGGCAAGGCAAGTCAAGACCCAATCCCAATGAGGTCAAAATATATAAACTTTAATATCCTTCTTGAGTTTTTAAAAAATCTATGACTAACTTAAGCGATGAGTTATTCTAGTAAAAAATGTTAGAATGACTGAAATTCATGGCAAATTGCATACTTTCTCGATATTTTCTTCTCAACTTCATACTACTTGTTCAAAGCTGTAGCAGAGATGAGTATGTAGTCGGTCATCAAATTTTTTAAAAACTCAAAAAGAATATCAAAGCCTATGTCAAAAGCGTTATTTATTTTTTTTTTTTTTCAAACTCCGTACGACTTCCTTCGGCATCTTAGTTAAGAATGAAACAGTAAAAAAATCAGAAAATATTGTGTAAAATGTCCTCACGTTTTTTATTAAAACTATCCCCCAGAAGGTTGTGCCGAAGTTAAAAAAAAAAGAAAAATGAAACTTTTGAGATAAGCTTTAATTTCCTTCTTGAACCGTTGAGAAATTAAAATATCAACATTCAGTGTCAAAAGTCAGAGAGAGCTAGAATAAGTTTAAACATTGAAAAATTCAATAAAATTTGTAATATTACTTTTCATCTTTCGAGCTTTGAGTGTTAATAACTATTGCTGTTGGGCACTATTTAACACTTTTCAAGTATAAAAGTTAAGGTTTTTTTGAATCGCTTTATTTTACTTTTTCAAGTAACACTCTCTGACTTTTGGGATAGAGTTATGTTTAAAAAAGTCAAAAAAATCGGGATTTTAATTCAAATTGAGTATCAAATAATGAAAAATTCTTAAAAATGTATGTTACGAGACCTGGATTGATTGATCAAAGTATTTTTTTTTGTTCTGAGGTATGTCAGGGATAAAAAACGCACGTATTTTCAGAGGTTTGCTTACCTACAAATTCTACCTTTTTTTTTTTTGACACCGATAACGGCAGATTTGTCGGTGCACACATAACATACTATTATTTGGAGGAGATTCTTATCGATCAATTGGATGTGATTCAGTAAAGATATGTTTATTGTTTTAACTCAATAAAAATTGTTTTATTACAATATTTACATGACATGTACAATACGTTTCAACGTATTAAGATAAAACGATCAAAGTATATTATGCTTGTATTGTTTTGCGAAGCATTTAATCGATAAATGCGAATCATATTAACTCGAGGAATACATGATGACAATAAGAGCATTTCAAAAAATCTTTTCGAAAACAACTTAAGTAACACAGATTGAGAAACATTTATTTTACATGACACTGTACACTGAGCTGTCGATTGTTACGTTGCATTTAAAACTTCCGTGCAACGATCGCAAATTTCCGAAGGCCCAGGTTCTACGTGTCGTCGACATCTTTTGCACAGCTCCTGGTCTACGTTTTCCAAGGACACACTCAAGTTCTCACACCTGTCGTCTTTTATAAGGGTAACAGAGGACACTTGACATATGTCACAAATTTCAGATGTTGAAGATATACCGCTCTTTTGAAGAACCTTTAGAAAAATGTATGATTAGAGGATCCATAAATGCGTAGGTGGAAAAATACCAAGCGACGATACTCACAGATAAAAGTTCAAAATCTCCCGAGTTTGCTCTCACTGTAGCTTTCGACAGCCACGTATTTTTTGCCGTTAGTTTGTTTATTTCGCTCTTGACGTCCATCGCTTTCTCAACGATCGTCTTAACCTCTGGCTGATCCCAACTGTCTAATGACCTATGCTTCGTGTGAAATAGTGGGACTGATGCTGAAAAAAATTTTTTTTTAATTTTCATCCCGATACTAGACAAGTTTGACCAAATAGCTCAATTACCAAGATTTTCCGGATGATGGAGCCATACTTCTTCAGCCAGGTGAGGTAGAATCGGTGCTACGGATCTGACAGTAATAGCCAAAATTTCGCCAACGACGTCCAATGATCCCAATCTGAAGGGAGAGTCAACTTTTTCACAATAAATCCGATCCTTAATCAAATGGCAGTAGATGGCCGATACATCGTTTGTCATGAAATTCAAAAACAACTTGCTAACGTTATGGTACTGATACTTCTCATACAACTCCTGGATCTACAATTTTACTTTTCATTACATATACACCATACAATCTACAATATCGCAAATACAGTTAACTAGCAACATACTTGATTGTGATAATGATAAAGTTGATGAAGCATGTACTTATCCAAGTATTTGTATTGAGGTTCAACTGTTATTTTTCTGTTGTCGTCGTAATTATTTAGAGTTCCCAAGAGAAACTTGAATACATTACGAAATTTGTTAACTGATTCTACGCTTCCCTCCAGCAATGTTTTTTTCACTGGGACTAGGGTGTGCTGAGTTCCGTGGCTAGCCACCCACCACCTGTAATTAAAATTTCAACTTATAACTTGCATCAAGGGCGTAAAACGATCCTATTCAGACAGTACTTGCCTCAGAACATCAACTCCATGTACTGGATTTTTGTTCAAGTTTTTTCCTCCCTTGGTAATGTCATCTGGATTAACAACGTTTCCAATTGATTTCGACATTTTATTGTTGTTTTCGTCCACAGCAAATCCATGTACAAACAAATCTCTACAACAATTGTCGCTTACAACACGTGTGCCGTTCAATATTGTACAATCGGTATGAAAAGCAATTTTTCTTACTTGTAAGGTGCACAGCCCTGTAAAGCTACAGAAGTAAGCAGGGACGACTGGAACCATCCTGAGAACTGGTCCATTCCTTCCATGTAGAGGTTGGCTTTCTTATCTGGCAAGACATACGACCACGAAATACCACTGTCGAACCATATGTCCAAGATATCCTAGTGCAAGAGCAAAATTTCACTTCACCGTAGAAGATTTGGTAACAACTCATCGACAGTGCAATCATACCTTTCCCTTTTCCAATTCGGCACCAGTCACACTGTACGCTGCCCGCAACTTTCGACCGAGAAGTTTCTCCACAGGCAATTCCCACCAACAATCATCCCCATGTTTGTCGATCAACTGGCACAACTTGTCTACCCACTCGCTTGAATAAACGATCAAGTAACAATAATCCCGTTTATTTATCAACAGTTAAGTACATGGAACTAAGCCGACAATTACCGAGTTATGAAAACTTCGCCCGTATCTTTGTAATATAATACTGGTATCGGCGTGCCCCAGGCTCTTTGACGAGAAATGCACCAGTACGGTCTTTGCTTCAATTGAGTCAACAAGGCATTACTCCACGCTGTTCTCTTTGTTTCCGGGAATATATTTACATCCTTCAAGCTTTCCTAGAACAACGAATTTATCGGGTGCCATGAGTAAACAAAAAAAAAACAGCACATTGATGACAGTAATAATAATAAGATCCTTACGACGGCCTGATCTTTGATAGAATCGGTGTTGATGAACCATTGGTGACTTGCGCGCACGATCACGGGCTTCATTGTCCTCCAATCGTATGGATAACTGTGCGTCAACTTTTCAACATGAACAATGTTTTGGTCGATCCGAGCCAGAACTGCTGGCGTACCTTCCTCCAAGACTTTCAAGCCTTCGAATTCGGCGCCTGCTTCCGCCGTGTATTTACCTTCTTCGTTTACCAAAGATATCTAAAAAAAATAAAAAAATAAAAAAATAAAAGGATTACTACTGTACTGCAATGGAGTTACAATAACTGAGTGAATTTATTGTAACAGTGGTTGTGCACTCACAATAGATATTTTGTTTTCCAAGGCGACTAGAAAATCTTCCTTGCCATGGGCAGGAGCAGTATGGACTAAGCCTGTGCCTTGGGAGGTATTTACGTGACTGCCAGCCAGAAATGGTAAAACAACACCTGTTATGGGGTGAGCGTACTTGGATCCAACCAGGTCTTTTCCTTCGAGTACGCGAAAGAGACTCAAAAATTAATACTTCTGCAGAGCAAAGATGCAAAAGTATAATAAAAAAAAAAGGGATTGGTGTACAAACCAGTGAAAGTAGTAAGGACGTTGAGCTGTCCGATTTTCTCAATGTTGCTTTGAAGCAACTGTTCCGCCAATATGTACAGATTCCCTTCGCTGTGCTCTACCAAGCAGTAATTGGCCTCCGGAGAGTAAGCCAATGCCTGATTAGCAATTAAGGTCCACGGTGTTGTCGTCCACGTGAGAGCATAAACAGGTCTGCCCTCAAAGGCCGCTAATCTCGGTGGTAACTCGACCAAGCGCAGTCGGACGGTGGCACACTGACTTTGATGATCTTTATATTCCAGTTCAGCTTCGGCCAGAGCAGTTCTGAAACAAGAGGTGGTGTGAATTGTTTGTTTGTTTTTTGTTTTTTCAACATCATCAAGTATAAGGAAGCAAAACGTACTTTGATGAAGGTGACCAATAGACAGGCTTGAAGTCCCTGAACACCAACTTCTTTTCGTACAAACTATAAAACTGTTGGAGTTGATTTTTTATGTACGACGTGGTGTTTGTAAAGTAACAACTGCTGTCCTTCCAGTCGGCCATGATGCCCCAGGATGCAAAGACCTTTTTCTGCTTGGCAAATGCCTCTTCCGCAAATTTTCGGGCTAAAACGTCATTTTAGAAGCTTGCATTTTTTTTTTACTCTACAAATGTTTTAATCGCTGCCTATATACCTTGCGTCCTAACTTGAATGGGTGTCAGATCAGCAACTCGTTTCTTAGCACTGCTCAAAGCCTTGAGTTCAATGGGTAAACCGTGACAGTCCCAACCAGGAACATAATGCACCCTCTGGCCTTTGACGACTTTACTTCTGATTGTTATATCTTTCAATATCTGAGCAAGTAAACATAAACCAGTTTAAGAAGGAGCAGTGCTAAAAAAAACAACTTTTTAATGATACCTGAATCTTACCTTGTTGATTGTGTGGCCCATGTGAGGATCTCCGTTGGCGTAAGGTGGACCGTCGTGAAGCACAAAATCAGGACCCTCGAGATTGGCCCTTTGCCAATTGTACAATTCAGCAAAGCCACACTTCTGAAATGTCAATTGTCATCGACGTTTACATGCTGAGTCAAGACAAATATTTACCAAACAGTGGACTCACATCTTGCAAATACATGTCCATCTCGACCCTCTTCTTGCCGGTGATCTTGGCTGGAAAGTTGGTCTTTGGCAACAGTACGGTATCCGTGTACCTCTTCTCGGCCAATTTCTCTTGTTGGGTCGAATGACATCTGTACAGTATACGGGCTTGCGTGGAGAGCAAGGACTTCACTCTCCACAGGAATGGTTGGAGATTCATCGTCCTGTATTATCAAGGCCAAACTGCGCTTGAAAGATCACTTTGGGAGTAGATTATAAAAAACGTTCAATCCATCGGTCCTGAATATCATTTATCTTGGTATATGTCTTCATTGGCTCAGTCATTGTGCACACAAGAGACGCAAATCAAAGTTAACCCCCCATCAGAGCATGATCGGATCAATTGACATCATATTATGAATATAAAGTAGTAAAATACAAGCGGACCAAGTGCTTTACTTTCTATGCCTGAAAGAAACGTACAAATATTGGTTTTACAAGTTAAAAAAACAAAAAAGGTTACTGCTCTCGAAAATGCCGGCTGAGACGTAACATGAAGTAGGTGTAATTACCTTAGTACCTGAATGCGTCTTTTGAAAAGCACTGTGATATCAATTTTTTAACATTTCCCAGCTATTGTTTTCTATACTTAATTGTATGTTAATCAAGTACTTATTATCTAAAGTTTCATGAATTCACGAGTTACGTGTGCATCACGTACTCAAATCACGATTTCTACCATGCGTGTGTGTAGGTACTTCATATATGTATGTACATGCAATATACATGTGTACAATGTACGCCGCACTTGCGAATTTTTAGTGTACTTTTCAAGTCATTAAGATAACAAAACTTTTTAAATTTTTAATGACAAACAAAAACTGAAATAAACTTACTCTCCTGCACATCGTTGGTTTAAACGTCGGCTATGTTTCATGATGGCTTATGCAAATTAATGAGAAAACTCCATGTACAGTGTACTGCATATGTTTTTTATTTCCTAACTTGATAATACAGTCAAGTTATCAACACACATATATTGGGAACATTTCAGTTCCTAATTACACTAGTTAATTAATAGTTTAATCCTGTGAGAGCTTGCATTATTTATTTACAATGAAACAAGCTCTAAATATAAAAAAATGGTATCCAAGTACGATGCATTATGTTTCTTTTGGATTTGTAGCAAAACAAAAATTTGCAGAATTTTTTTCTTCCGCTCAAGTGTTAAAACTTGCAAGTTTTTGTTAAATTTCGTCGCACAAAATCATTACAGTTTTACCAACTTTGGAATTATAGAATGATAATTCACTAAAAAGATATGATTGCACCTCTAAGATTATTTTATATGGTTGTACGTAATCTTTTTTTTATAACATTTCTACACACATTTGATTGTAACATATAGTTGTAGCCTAATTATAATCAAAGACAATAATCAAAATTAATTCCTTTAATTCATTAAAAAATTAATTGATTTACAGTATACAGAAAATAATTATGATAAACACACATAATTGGGTTACACGTATGAGAATTGCGTTTACATAAAACACATGTCATCAATGAAAAGTAAATAGTTAAAAAATGTTAAACTCTCATCATAAAATTACATAGAAAAAGTCAGCTCTTTTCTCACGCAAGTCTTTCTTCTCATACCGTGAATCCAAAAAATTTTCTTCCCTTGAAATAATAAAAGACCAGTTTGGCTTTTAATTTTCTCAATGTGATTTTTACTTTCTTGACAAGTAAAGAATTTTATACAATTGCCCCAAACCCTTTGACGATTGATTCTTGATCTGTACGAGGTAACAGTATTTTAGGTATAAAAATCTTCATCTTACTTAGAAAGAAAAAAAAAAGCAATTTTACAAACGACTACTGCAAAGAAGAAAGACTTGCCTCCAGATTACAAGTAAAATAATTTTGTCACTTAGGCACCCTCCGACGTGGATACTTTGCTCTTGACGTATTCCTCGAGTTGGGCGTCGAGCTCCTCAGCTGTGGGCAATGGTGCTTTTTTGGGCTTACCACCGCCAGATTTCGCCTTGCCCTTGGTTACACCTCCTTTTTTGTTAGCTCCACCACTACTACCGCTACCACCGCTCTTGCGTTGTGGCTGTTTACCATTTCGTTTTGAAGCTGGCCCTCCCCTTGACTTATTAGAGTTACTGGTGCCAAGACGGTTTCCACTTCGAATGGAGCTGGAGCCGGGAATTTCGGACGTGGCCAGCTGGATGTTCATCTCACGGCCATCGAGAGGTACTCCGTTGTATTGTTTCATTGCCTAAAAATTATGTTAAATAATGTAATATTTAAAGGACGAAATAATAAACATATGACTCACGTAATGGATTCAAAAAGCATGATAAAAGTATTAAACGACTGCTGCTATTCTATCAAAATTGCAATATTTAATAAGCTTTATCCAAATACTACAGATGGTTTCAAAATGATATAGCGATTGCTTTGAATGTGACGAACCGATAAAAATACCATGCGACAAAAAACAACTGCCAAGTACCCACCTTGATGGCATCGGATCTTCTCTCAAAGATGAGATCAGCAGATCCCATAGAACGTCCCGATCTGTCGTAATGAACCCCGGCAAACTTGAGTGGGCCAAACTCGCTGAACAGCTCGAGAATGTCAGAGTCTGTGACTCCAAAGTCCAAGTTGGAGACAATCAACTTTGTGGTGTCAGAGCTGTACCTACGTGGGCCACTACTTCCAAGGAAAGCCTCTCGCTTGAAGCTCGGCAGGGAACGGCTGTAGTTACCGGGTCTGCGGTTCTTTGTAATGGCCCCCTGGCTGCGATTGCGTATAACACCACCACCTGGCTTTTTGTTGGTTCGGACAGGGCCACTCTTTCTTGGCGAACTACCAGTCTTCTTTGGTGGACTACCAGTCTTTTTTGGTGGACTGCCAGTCTTCTTTGGTGCACCACCGGTCTTTTTGCCACCAGTGCCTGCGCGCTTGTTACCTTGTGTCGACTTTTTGTTCTTTCTGTTCTGCTTAATGATTTCGTCCAAGCTCATATCTACTTTGCCGGCCATTTTAGATGTGACGTTTTAGTTGATGGCTGTAACTTTACCTTTGGTTGAACTTAGGTAATATACCTAGACTGGAAAGTAAATAATATTAATAATTTTTTTATATGTTATCGGCTAAAAAATGAACCCTTTAGTTAATCAAATGAAATTAAACATTACATGGCTGTGTCATTGATATTGATGCTTACACGTAGGTTTATTTTGCTTATTATTCAATCTACAGAAGAAATATATAATCTTACTCAGTATCTCACCAATGTTATGAAGGTGAATGTAACTAACAGCAACACTATCAAATTCCAAACATTACTCAAAACTAGACTATATTTCTTTGAAGTTTAACTAAATGAAAAGAGCAAGTACACCCGAGTGAATAGGAATTTAGGTTTCCTGTTTCAAGAGTACAGAACTTGTAACAAAAGAGATAGAATACAAAATAAAATTAAAATCTTGTGATAAATAGGGTGGTTTTACATTGCTGTATGTGTAGTAATAATAGTGAACAACAAAGTGAGTGAGTCAGACAGAAAGCGTGTACTAGCAGAATTTGGAACTTCACATTTCTCAGTTCCTAGAAGGAATAATAAGCAAGCAGAGATAAGCATCTACATCAATACACATATATATATATATATATATATATATATGTATGTATGTATATATATATGAATGTGCACGTGAAAGTCAAGATAACTGGATTAATTACAACTGCGATTTAATATCACAAATAACCGGGAAGCGTTGCACGAAACGGAATGATCGAGTCCCATGTATACACATGAACAAGAGAGAGACGAGTCGGCTCCTCGGCTGAAATGAAACGGACGCGTCGTTGACGTCCGGTCCACTGTTCTCCCAAGGTTATATAGGCTTTTCTCAGAGGCACAAGGCTTTTTGGGAATAAAAAATATCTACCGTAGGCGTCTTCAGCCAGCCAAGCCGCGTCGTCAGAAGATTTTCACGGCACACTGGGTGCAGTTAAACATAACGTACAAGATTCTCTTCTTTGATCGATAAGTTTGAGGAGAGAAAGCAATGGGGACGCGCTGAATTCGGCTCCGATTTGGGTTTGAGGTTAAACTCGGCTCACCGGACTCTCGAGATTGATTTGGATCGAGTGACGAACTTCTCGCGAAAAGTCTATTGGTGCACTGTCGTTGCTCTTGAGGACGATATTTTGAAATGATTTATAACAATAGGTACTCACATGAAAAATAATCGAATAAAATTGTCGACCAACTTAGTTTTGAGAGAGCACTTTCACAGGGACCCCACTAACAATACACAGTGTTGCCATGCCATTGCCAGTTCTTCCTGTGGAGGAGGAGCGTGTTTTTGTGTGTGGTGGACGCGGCAACATTGTGCAGCACTACATGTCAAATGGCGCCAATTTCAAATTAAATACATCGTGGGTAGCCGAAATCCAAAGAGATGGACACACATTGTAACGTATATATGCTTATTTAACCAATGATTAGATCATGTAGTATAACTAAAAATAAACATTTTTTACTATTAGCCCTATCTAAGTTTTCGAGATGTACTTATATTGCTTATTTTGGGCGCCCAGATAAAGAGATATAGTTCCGATAAAACACCATGAATGTGGCAAAAAATATTTATTTGTACACGTTAAGAGTAAAATGGGCGGTTTTTTTTTGTAATGGAAAACTTTTCATCGTAGCGTATAGAAAAGCTGTTATTCAACGCAAGTTCCCAATAATATTGTGGTAGCTTATTGTAAATTTAACTTTCAGGTTTGTTACATAAATAAAATAAAATTTTTGTCACCTTCAGAGTTGTGTTCAAAGGATGACTCATACAATTTTTCGTATTGCATTGATAAGCATTTTAATTAATTATATTTACTAACCGAAACATTTCATCTTCTCGTCAAAAAGAACATACCGTCGGGTCAGTGCAAGAAAGAGTCTTTGTCAAGAGAGATCATAGATAAGAAGAGCCTTTTCAAACTCAACGGCAAGCAAGAAAAATCCTTTTTCAGATTTCCAAGCAAGAGGGAAAGAGAGAGTGTGTTTCAAACTGTAGCACAATATTGAGCGGACGGTGGAACAACCCTTATATTTTGATGGTCGCGCTCATGCAGGAGATTGCAGACACTTTGTTCACTCCATGAGTTTATTTACACTAAGTTGGTAATGGAAAGACGGGATCTTTTGGAATTTTTAAATATATTATAAGAAATAAAGGTCAGCAAGATGTGCTGGAGAAGCCCATTGGTACTGTTCATTTATCTGTTCATGATTTAGCCAACGACGATGATGCTATTCACTTTTATACTGGCCTAGAAGATTATCAAAAATTTCAATTTGTATTTTTTACTCTTGGACAAGCTGTTTTTTCACTCAACTACTTTTATGAAACAAAGCCTGAGTTGGATGTTATGAATCAGTTTTTTTTATCTTTGATCATTTTAAAGCAACACAAAACTGACTTTGAACTAAGCTTGTTATTTAAAATTTCGGAAAAACAAGTAGCTAACATATTTATGACATGGATCAGATTCATGAAGTTACAGTGGTCAAAAATTTCCCAATGGCCTTCCAAAAATTTGGTACGTTTTTTCACTCCAATAGACTTTAACAATAAATTTCCCGGAACAAGATGTATAATTGATAGGATAGAAATACCTATTGAGAAACCAAGTACACCTACATCTCAGCAAAATGAAAATGAAACAACTGTAAAGTCTATTGTTGCTGCTACTCCTGGTGGATTGATATCTTACGTTTCATCTACCTATGCTGGCTCAACTAGTGATCGACAAATCATCGAGGACTGTGGTCTCCTTTCAAAGTGTGATCCAGGAGATAGTATTATGGCCTGTAAAGACTTTGACGTACAGGATATTTTGGCTGAACATAAAATAAAGTTGAACGTTCCAAAATTTTTCAAGGAAAAGACTAAAATATCCAGCCATACTGTATTGAGTGATGAGAAAATATCAAGTGAACAAGTGCATGTTGAATGTATCATTGGGTTGAGTAAAACGTACAAAATATTACAAGGTCCTTTGAGAAAAGCTGAGATTTGTTTGGCCGATGATATTATTTTTACCTGTTTTATGTTATGTAATTTTAGAAATACTGTTAGTCCTGAGGCTTAAACCAGAGAATATAGAAACACATCCCTTCATTGTTTCTATATTCTCTGCTTAAACAGTTGTCATACACATGAGATTTATGTCAAAAATGTTTACAGAAACTTTTTTGGTCATGTCAAAAGTGTAAATACTTCTAAATAGTGAAGACTAGCTCTTTAAATCATTATAATTATAATGTGTATTTTATATAAGGTTTTTTCAATAAAACTGTACTTAAATCATATTTTACAATTGGAACAAAAATTGTATTTACTTATACTGAAACAAATCTTGTAGTTATTCCTGTACAAAAACTTACTTAAAATTGCTGGCTTATGAAATTTGTTATTAAAAATAATCAATTTTTAAAATCAAAGCAAACTTTATTATCTCTGAGATTTTTTGTAACTAAAATCTCTTTGAATGTAAAAACAAAAATAAACCTGTTTTTTTCTTAGAGCACAGCAGTTACCTTAAAACCTGGTTAAAATAGTTATGAATTTTTTTCAGTTTCAGAAAAATATCCTTATCACCATAATATATAAAAATCGTCTTTCCCCAGCAAAAATTAGCTCATTCATTCAACTGTCTATAAATATAAATAAAAAATAAAAATCAATAATAGCAAAAAGTGGAGTCCAAATTTGAAATTATAATAATACTCATCTTTCTAATGTCGGTTACAACTTTTTTTTATTTAGTCGTGAAAATTATATCGAAAAATTTAGTTTTTTTTCCCCTCATTAAATTACGACAAAAAATATCATTTTTATGAAACATTTAGAAATAGTTTGTATCTATCAGTTGCTAAAAAATTTGTAAATAATCAATAATAAATAATACACACTATCAATTATGAATTTCGGTTAAGTATGATTTATAAAATGATTACATTTTATTTTTTGTACCTTCGTAACGATACTTATTATTAAAAAAAAAAAAAAAAGCTTATAGCAACTCCTATACAGTTATTAAACACAACCCTCAGTCTTAAGAGATGCAGCCAAAAAAGGATATTGCTGTAATTAAGTATACCCATTTACGTTACTCTTCTCAAACAACCAATTTTTATTTCTCTACTGTCCGTGAGTTGTCAACTCTATTTCAATTATTTTCACTTTGCTTATTTTCGTGAGATTCGTAATTAAATCGTTATAATCGTTATCAGTGTACAGAGCATGTAAGTTTGTGCAATCAAATAGTTGTAATTGAGGAAAAGATTGCAATGGATCACAGCAAAATGTATACAACTCAAGCGAAAAATGTATATCTTATTTATTTAAGAACTTTACAAAAAAAAAAAAAAATGAAATAAAATATAACAAATAATATAATTCAGATTTGNAAAAAAAATTAAATATAACTGATAAATACAGTAATAAAATTTTATTCTTAGTCTAGCACCTGGACTTTTTTTATTTCTTAATGGGGGTATCAATTATTATTATTATTCACTAATTCAATGTTCGCTTGAGGAGCATTTTTACAATAATCATAATATTCTATTGAATTTTGGCTTCCAAGTGGACGAGGATCATAGTCATTTAATTTTTTCTTCAGATTGTCTGACTGAAATAGATTAAAATTTTTTGCCTTGATAGGAAATCAAGTATATAATTTCGTTTTATAGAATATCTGCAAAGTTTCTGTACAAGTTATCCTGACTTTAGAAGATTTTTATAACTGACAAAATCTTCGATTCCTTTCAGAACAACACACACGTGTTTGTAGTGCTGCGGGTCCTTTATCAGCAGCACATTCACACTGAGTACCTGAAACATGCATGTATTTAGAGTTATTTTGACATTCACAGTGTGAAATGACTGTAAATATTTTATGTCACAATTTTTATCAAGAAGGAGTAGGTGTAATGTATTTAAATTTCTGTAAGTAAGGCAAAACTAAGTTTTAATCATATATTTTTTTTCAGTATTCAAAAAACTAAAACCTATGAGTATAAACAAATTGAAAAAGTATTGTCACGGGAATTAAACAAAACTTTGAACTAAAGCAGCTTAGATTTTTTTCAGTAGTTTTAGCTCTTCTTTTTCTTAATTCACAAACCAGTTGCTTCAAATTCTATTTCCCATTTAATCCAATTATTCTTTGAATTTACTTACGTTCCACAAATATATATTTGCCAATAAGGGACTTTGTATAAGTACTAACAATAACATTCATTTAATATAGTGGTAAACTTTCTTAGACGGGCACGCTACCGTCGCTTAACATTGGAATTACCCTTATTGTTTAAAGACGCTTTTTAAGAGAGGCTAAGTTTTGTGCTAAATTGTTTTAGCTGTGTCTTACTAAAATTTATTATTTTATGTTCAATTGGTGTGCTACAGAAAATTATTTAAAGGCTTTTTACGTTATGGTTGAATATTTGTAGAATTCATCCCTGTATAACAAAACTTCGACAAGGGCAGGAAAAATACACAAAAATCGTTAAAAATTACTTTATAAAAATTTGATAATGCATTTTATCAACAAAAATTTGTTTTGACACGGGTTGCTCGAT